GATGATGTGTTTCCCTCTTTATGTCCGAGCATTCCTAGATGAACAGTTGCCTGGAAAGTGGATTGATCGTCGTGGGCCAGTTGAATGGCCCCCAAGGTCTCCCGATCTGACCCCCTTAGACTTTTATCTTTGGCGTCATCTGAAGGCAATTGTCTATGGTGTAAAGATACGAGATGTGCAGCACCTGAAACTACGGATACTGGATGCCTGTGCTGGCATTTCTCCTGCGGTGTTGCTATCAGTGTGTGAAGAGTGGGAGAAGAGGGTTGCATTGACAATCCAACACAATGGGCAGCACATTGAACATGTTTTATAAGTGGTCAGAAACTTGTAAATAACTCATGAAAGAATAAAGTTACATTGAAACCAAGCACACCAGCGTCAGAGATGGAACTTGACTACGGGTCAGCTTCGGCAGTGATGGACCACCTCAGGAGGATTGGCTGTAAGCCGGCAACGTCTGCCGTGTCTCTACAGTAACAGCCTGGTGGCTTGGCTGGAGGCCAGTGTGGATAGAGATGGTGGGACAGCTCAGAAGGTTTTTGTGTAATCAGCTCTCAGTTTGGATTCAGGAGACAGACACCCTCCCTACTTTCAAAATTAGACTTAAAACTTTTCTTTTTGATAAAGTTTATAGTTAGAGCTAGATCTGGTGAATAGACTGTGGATTAATTCCTGCTGTAAATAGTTTATCTTCTAAAAAGCTTAATTTACCCTGTTGTCAGAGTCCTGTCTTTGAGTCCAGCCTGCCAATTGACAGACTGATAGATGTCAGTTACTGTGCTTCTGATCTGTTTTTCAGTTTCTTTCACGTGGCGTGATGTTTGAGATCTTTTAGACTGCTTCATTTTGTCAGACGGGTTCTGTTTCAGTGATTTCTTGATTCAGAAGGTGTAGCAGGTGTAATGAGGCCTGGTCATGGCTTGTGATATTGAACTTGGATGTTTAATAAATCTGGTTAATGAATTAAACATTTTTATGTTTATTTGTATTTGAATATAAAAAAAATGTGTTTGATGTTCTGAAATATGAGAGTCTGATAAATATTACAATAAGAAAATCAGAAAGGGTCTTTGTTCACAACATTGTTTACCTACAGGTGTTTTACCTTCTGATAAGTGCAATAAAACAGTCAAGTAAAGCATACAAATCCTTCATCTTATCATTCTCTGATAACAGCAGGCTAACATAAAGCTGTAGCAGCAAAAAAAAAAGTTTCTTATTTAAGTGTAAATGTGTATGTTAGGATGCCTGGGCCGTTGACCCAGGATTTTGAGTTTATTTATCATTTCTAGTCTTTGGTTTCTTTGTTAGAGTTCTGTCTTATGGTTTATGTCTCTGTGTTCTCTAGTTGCTCTGTCTCCCCTGTCAGCTGTATCCCCTTGTCAAGTTCGCGTCTCTGTGTTATATTTCCTGTTTTACTTTGAAAGTCCGTGTGTCATGTAAATGCGTCTGGTTTTGCTTCCTTTGTCTCGTTAGGCCTGATTTGCCCCAGCTGTGTTTCCCTCCTGTTACCCATTCCCTGATTGCTCCCTCTGTGTATTTAAGCCCTGTGTTTCTCTGTGTCCGTGTCGTGATCTACTCTTATCTACCCTCACCCATGCTGTGTGTTTTGGGTTTTCCTGCCTGCATTAATGTTTGTATTTTGGAAGTTTGTTACTTTGAGTTCAGCTTTAAAGCTGTTTAGAGTTCACGTTGTGCCTCCGAGCATCTGCATTTTGGGTCCACCATTCCTGCCTGCACACAGCCTTCACATAAGAGTGTAACCATCCATCTATTTGTTTTCTAATGCTTATCCAATTCCAAAAATGTTTTTATAAATTGAGTGATAGATCTATCGATCTCTCTCAAAACATCAAAGACAGATCTTCATCTTTTTCCATTAAAAGAACATAAATATAATTTTGTACGTAAAAATAAAGCCCTAAAAAAGAGGGAGACTTATGCAGAACAAAATAAATATCTCTTACTTTGTAG